ACATGTAAATATTGTAAATCATTAGAAAAGGAAGACATATTAAATATTAATAAATAAAATAAATAACAAAGATTAAAAAGCATAGCCATGTTTTTATCAGTGATGGTTTTCTATTGTATTAATGCAGAACATTTGGGTGATTGGAAGTTGTTAGAACTGACACGATGCGTGGCAATATCTCTTCCTCTTGGGAGCTATACTTGCTGGCATTTCTACCTTCCTTCTTGTCTCTGAAAAAAACGGCAGTTCTCACCTAGCTAAAGCAACACTACAAATTTTAAAAAGCTCTTAAAATTCACAAAGGAAATATATTTGTATTATGAGAAAGAAGCAGTAAATCTATTTTAAAAGCTTAAATCTTAGAAAATGATTAAAATTTATGACAATTTAATTTTAGTATGGTACACTAAAAATTAACAGTTGTCACTTTAAAATCACCCAATAAAATGTTAAACATTCAATAAGTGCTTTTTAATTGTTACCTAATAATAACACCTCAAGCATATTCAGAAAATGTATAGAAATGTAATGCTGACTAAAATGTTCATCCTTTTCTTCATAACTAGTATAGTCAGAACTAAACTACACTCTTTTCTATCAATGTGTTTTGTTAATCCGAAATGCTACAGAAATAAGTCTATATATTACTGGCATGTGGAGGGATATTTAGTGTCTAAAAATATTTAGTACTTATCTAATAATAATAGAAACAAACACTGATTGCCATGTAGTAATTTAAAATATCTCATTACCTTTATATATTTATTTGTATACTATGCATACATTTTCATATAATTTTTATTTGTCTTCAAGTTCTATCTGTGCATTTATTTTGCTTTCATTTTAAATCAGATTATGATATATTCACATCCCATACTCTTTTTCGTATTTAGAGATCTCTTGTATGCAAAATCACAGTTTGAGGGCACAAATAATATTAAATATAAGGGTAGTATGTTCCTGTAAAGATTTAATCTAGGAAACCCTATGACTGCCTGGCCCTATAGAGTTCCTATCAGTCAGAATGGTCGTGAAGACAGAAGGTTTCTTCAATTATTAAATCATATTTCTAGAGTCTGTGTGGTAGGTGTTCATCCACAAACCTAAGCCAGGAGCTTCTGTCCTAAAGGTGCTCTTAACTAAGGTTAGTATGTCTCAGTCAATTGTCTCAAATATTGTGTCGATTTTGAGGATCTCCCTCATTTCTTTACCTTCTAGCCTACCAAACCTATCTAATGACTGATCTTGC